GAAATAATAACATGGAGTCATTACAGCCTGGCACCAAATTCTGATGCTGAGTGGTAGTTACCACTTTAGGACACATCAATTTACCATAAATCCTATCAATCTCTATTTCTCATGTTTATTTTAACTCCTGGGTCTGTGCGGACATTTGATTTCATGAATCCTTCCCCTCCTATGGTACCCTCCCACCTGAAAAGTCATGTCTAGTATAGACTCTCCCAAACACAGACTAGCTGCTCCCTACTGCCTGGGGCCATTTCCTAATTGTCAACTCCTTTCAACCAATATTTACTGAATGTATGATGGGCAAGTTACTGTGCCAGGTTCTCTGAAATGGAAGGTATTCCCAGCTTAGTGGGAAGGGACACCACATAAAAACAACTGTGGTCTCCTTTTCCTGCCAAACAATCCTCATACTTCCAGACCCTGGACTGTCTGGATAACTGGGAGGATCTTCAATACAGACTTGCCCATGCTGGAGTTACTATATGCTCCTGGGGAAGGCCACACAGTTCCAGAAAGTCTTCAGAAGAAAGCAAAACTTTGGTGCCAGAAAGAAGTTAGGGTAGAAGTTACAAGGCTGCACCATCTCTGCCCAATGAGCCTGTGTACCAAAAGAGGCACTGCCAATGTCAGAGTGGTATCCAGGTCTCAGGGCTGCCTGTGCATAGAGTGTTAACTGAACTAAATGACTCTGAAAAGGAAAGCCACAGGCCCCTACCAGGCTCCCTAGAGATGGAGATAGTATGGGAAGGAACTAGGAGCAACTCCAGGTTAGAAGAACAGATGAAGAACATGGAAAACATCCGCTCCAGCTCCAAACAGTAATTCTGGATGATGGGATGGGGGAATCAAACCTAGGGCCTCACACATGCTAGACAAGTACTCTATCACTGTTCACTGTTATGGTTTAGATATTAGGTATCCTCCAAAAGCTCATGTGTGAGACAGTGCAAGAGAATTTAGAGATTAAATGATTGGAACATGTGAGGTTTAACCTAATCAGTTAATTAATCCCCTGATAGGATTAACTTGGGGGTGACTGTAGGCAGATAGGTTGTGGCTGAAGGAGGTGGGCCCCTAGGGGTGTGCCTTTGTAATTTTATCTCTGCTTCCTGGTGCCATGTTCCCAGCTGCTTTCCTTTGCCACACACTTCCATCACGGTGTTCTGCCTCATCCCAAACTCTGAGGAATTGAATAAATCATCTATGGACTAAGACCTCTGAAACTGTGAGCACCAAATAATTTTTCCTCCTCTAAAATTGTTCTTGTCAGGTCTTTTGGTCACAGAACAAAAAAGCTGACTAAAACAATCACTAAGCTCTATACCAGCCTGACTCTTATTATTTTTAATAAAAAACTGTGTCCTCTTTTGAAAGCTACTTGGCAGATTCTAATAAAATTGATATACGCCCACTTTTACACAGTAATTCCTCTCTTAATTATATACCAGAATACATGTATACACGTATTCATGGTTGCATTTATAATAGCCCCAGACTAGAAATAACCAAATGTATATCAATAATAAAATGAATAGATAAATTGCACTATATTTGTACAATGATATATTACCTATCAGTGACAACATCATACTGAATATATGCAACAACAGGGATAATTCTCACAATATTGAACAAAAGAACAAAATATATTCGGGCTGGGGATATAGCTCAAGCGGTAGCGTGCTTGCCTGGCATGCTCGGGGCACTGGGTTTGATCCTCAGCACCACATAAAAATAAAATAAAGATGTTGTGTCCACCGAAAGCTAGAAAATAAATATTTTTTTAAAAGTTTAAAAATAATAATAATATATTGTATAGCCTAGTACATGTCTTTTAGCGAAAGTATGTGTGCATTTCTCTTGCGTATTTATCTAGAAATGGAATTGCTGGGACATAACTGTTGTTTTATAATATGTCAATTTAGCTAGAGTAAACTGTTTCAAAAATTCTCTTTAATATATGTTTCCAATTAAGGTGGGCCATGTGGGCCATGACAGACATTTTTGCATGAGATTTGAAGAATGAAAGGAAGCAGCAACAATACCAAATTTGAGGGGCTGGGGATGTGGCTCAAGCGGTAACCCGCTCGCCAGGCATGCGTGGGGTGCTGGGTTCGATCCTCAGCACCACATAAAAATAAAATAAAGATGTTGTGTCCACCAAAAACTGAAAAATAAATATTAAAAAAAAAAACAATACCGAATTTGACATTTGCAAGCTCCAGGCTGGAGCTTTGTCGCCCACACACATTGTTGCTGATCTGCAGCTTTACCTCATTGACATGGGATAGCCGTTAGGCCTGCAACTTACACCTTCCCTGGGTCCTCTTTCACTTCTCTGACTCCTGGGCCAGATGACAAAGGGGGCCAGCTGCTTCTGCAGTTTATTCACATCCAGATTAGAGGCAGTGAGAACTGACATGAGTTCCAGTTTGTCCTCAAGCCTTCCAGCTTATGCTTGTGGATTCCAGTGTGTTCTTTCATTCCCCTGCCTTATATTCATCTTCCCATCGGCCTTCTTGTAGACTTTAAACTCCAGAATTAGGTGCAAAAACAAAAGTGTTAGAGATTGGAGACTCTTTAAACAATTTCCACAATTATCTAGTCAAATCCCTATAAGAAATCCCTTCTACTACTGATTAAACCATAAATGATAGCATAGGCATCTGTAGAAACTGCCAAACATTTCTGAAATGTAATTCTTGACACTCCCATTAGCAGAGTATGAGAGTTCTAGTTGCTTCACATCTTCATCAACATAAAAATTAGCATTTAATTTATAAAAATACTACACCATGCAAGTCAAAGCATGGCAACAGGCCACCAGTCTTCAGCCTTTACTATGAGCCATGTCCTTCTGCAGGACAATCTCATAATATGAAGATTACAAATGCATATATTTTTAACCAACCAATCCTGTTTCTAGAATTTATCATACATATATACTCATGTACAATACTAAATATATTATTATTAATATCAAAAGCCTGGAAATAAATGCTTTCTGAAGTAGAGGACTGACAAAGTAAATTTAGGATAGACAGTAGAACTTTTTCTTTTTCTTTTTCTTTTTTTTTTTTTTTTGGTACTGAGGATTGAACCCAACCCAGGGGGATGCTCTACCACTGACCTACAACCACAGCCATTTTTATTTTTTTATTTTGAGATACAATCTTTTTTTTTGTTTTTTAAATTTGTTCTAATTGGTTATACGTGCATTTTGACACGTGAAATAGGGTCTTGCTGGCCTCAAACCTGCAATCCTCCTGTCTCAGCCTCCTGAGTCATTGGGGTTATAGGTGTGTACCACTGCATTCAACTTAAATAACAAATTCTGGATACTCTTTTCATGCCTTTCTCTCCCACAGGATTGTGAACACTATTTTATACTTTTCTTGGTGTTCCTGGCATTTGGCACATCATATGCACTCAATAAATATTTGGGGAATCAATCAATGAATTAACCAGGGAAATTAGAATTAGTGGGAGTCAGAAATGGGAGAGACAGCATTGGCTGTCCAAGGGGAATTTTGGGAATGAGAGAGATATTTAAAGAAGAGTTATAGAGCTATAATGTAAGATGTAATCTACTTTAATATCCCCAAGAGACATTTAGCAAAATCCTCCAATTGCTTCTGGAATTTGATTTGTGGGTCATGGGAGATATGACTGTGGGTTGGTACAGTCTCAGGTATATCTGATAACAGGGGTGGAGGGGTCTCAAGGAAGAAGAGCCTCCTAGACCCAGCCCAACCTTTGTCATGGGGAGGCCAACAGATTCTTTAGGACACAACCCAGTCACCAAACTTGTATTCTAGGGCCACTGTGCTCCTGCTAGGCAGAACCATAATCTGCCTAACTGATGTTTCCTCAGATTCTTCATATAAGCTATGACTACTAGTATCACATATAGGAGCCTATACATACGGTTAAGTGAATGGAAGTTTTAGAGAATAGAACTCTGGAAATCTAATGTTGACTAAAAAGAGTGTTAGAACTGTGGTCAGTGTGTGGGAGAAGCTAGTGGTTTGATCCTCAGCACCACATACAAATAAAGATGTTGTGTCTGCCGAAAACTAAAGAAAAATAAATATTTAAAAATTCTCTCTTTAAAAAATAAACAAATGTGTTGTTTTAAATCTCTAATTTAGTGGCAATTTATTATATGGTGATAACTAATACAGGTTATTTTTTATTGTTGCCATTGGAGCATTGCTATGAATATTGCTGTAACTTCTCTCTCAGAACACAGAACACAACAGTTTTAAGTTTCCCCTGGGGATGCGCCTAGGAATGGAATTGCTATAACTCAGGATTTATAAATGTTCCACATTATTGGTAGTCAGCAAATCATCAGAGTTAAGGTCATACCAAGGCCCTGGTGTCTTGGTCAGTGTTGAGAATAAAGTTGGCCTCAGTCCATAGAACTTGGGCAGTGTATGCACAGTCAGGAATCATACAGAAAGCCAAGATAAGGGTCAGTCCATAGGCAGTTGAGGGCAAGGGTGTGGCCACAGTTGGGGAGAATCTGAGGCCTGGGTTTAGGGTTGGGTTTGGACAAAGTTGCAGGACACTGTGAAGGTATACATTTGGGGGTCCATTTAAGCCAGGATTAGAAATCAGGCTGTCATAGTTCACAAAAACTGACCCTTGGGTGGGGATGTGGCTCAAGTGGTAGCTCGCTCGCCTGGCATGTGCGGAGCGCTGGGTTCGATCCTCAGAACCACATAAAAATAAAGATGTTGAGTACACCGAAACTAAAAAATAAATATTAAAAAATTCTCCTTAAAAAAAAAACCAAAAACCTGACCCTTGGTGATCTTCAATATACCAAGCAGTGAGTACACAGGACCCACCACCCATAAGATGAGACCCATTCTGGGTTCATGACACTTTCACTTAAGGGGGATAGAGGGTGGCAGAGTGGAGGACAAGGTGGGGGCGGAGATTTGCTGCCTTCAGGGATCCAGGCAGAAAGAGAAAGCAGGCACAGGAAAGAAAGCACAACACCACCTTTAATGAGGGCAGCCCTGTCACAGACACACCCCAGGCACACCCGCCAGTACCCAATGGGCTGGGAGGGAGACTGCTATAGGCACCACGGATGTGTCTCCTATTTCTGGCTATTCCTACTCATCACGCCTTTCTCTCCAGCTGCTTCGGTCTCCAGCCTCGAGATGGGTCCCAGGTGAGCACCCAGGAGGGGCATGGGAGCCACTCGGTTTCTAGGGGCAATTTCCCGTGTGTCTGAGGCCATGGAGAACTAGTCTGGATGAAGACGTCGCTGGCCTCAGAGCTGGGCGGTGACCTGGGTCTGGGGGTGTGGACTGAACCAAGAGACGGCTTCTTAGGGCCCAACACCTGGAGTTCCAAGGCGGGACCCCAGGTGTTGGGCACTGCTTTGGTGGGCACGCTGGGTCTCCGCACGTGGCTTCTGGGCTCTGGAAAGCGGTCCATTCTCCTGACCCGGGTGGAGTGTAAGGAGGCGGCTCAGTCGCGAACTTCGGTTCCTAGGGCTCCAGTCCTAACGCCCCTATGCTCACTCCCATCCCCAGGGAGAGAGGCACAAGGGCCGAGCAGCTGGCTCCGCCCTCCCAATCTTGCGTCTGCTGTTGGGTGGGTGGGTCGCGACGTCTGGGCTCTGACCCGTAGTGGGACGTTCAGGCGCAGCTCACCGCTGCTTGCGCTCCGCCTGCTGGAGCCTCCGGGAAAGGTCCTCGATGCGCACGTTCTTGAGCTGAAGCAGGTGCTCCAGGCGCCTCACCTTCATCTGCAGGACCTGGGTGGGCGTCGCACACAAATCAAACCTAGCCACTGGCTGTCCTGCCCCGACTCTGCAGCCCCTAACCCCCTAAGGCTTCCCAGTGCGCCCTCACCTACACGGTCTCCTGCCCTCACCTGCACGGTCTCTTGCGAGGCCAACAGCTCCTGCTCCTTTTCAGCAATCTGAAGGACGAAGCTTGGGTCGCCCTGCAGCGCCTGGCTATACCCAGGAGGCCGGGGCGCCGGCAGCCGCCCCACCCTGAGGTAGGAAGCATCTTAGCGGAGGCCTGGACCTTGGACTCCACCCTCACCCTTCCAGTGTATTGGGCTGGGCGTTCACTATTCCCCTTCTCCCCTTTTCCCCCTCCCCACCTTTCCACACCCAATCACTGTCCCCCAGCCCGAGTGGGGAGATTACCCAGCCTGTTGAGATCACATTGCTTCCAGCTTCTTTACCTGAGCTGCTCTCCTCCTTGGGGTTCTGGTGCACCTTCCCCTCGTGTCTTCTGGGATACATCTGAGACAAGGCAAATGAAGGAGTGACATTGCTGTAGCTCTATTTTGTTTCCCCTCCGATTCTGCAAGCCATAGGAAGGTCAGGAAGACCTTTCTGAGAAGAAAGGAGGAAAGGCTACCTTACCCACATCCAAGTAGCCACTGCCATCAGCGGGAGGCAGCTCCTGAAAGAATCCCAGTGGTCCACTGTGAGTCTCAGCTCACCCATCCCGCAAAAAGCCCCCTAGGCCCTTCCGCAGTTCCCCAGATCAGGTCTTTTAGCCAGGCACCCCTCCCCCACACACATCGAAAAGGCGATGCTTCTCCCTGCCTGGGAACCTCTCCTCCCCAAAGCATTTGGAGAGATTCGAGCTGGGTGCCACCTGTAAGGAACCGGAGCCCTGCTTCCTGCGCCTTTGCCGCTCCTCCAGGCGCTGCTTCAGCGGGATGAGTACCAACTCCACCACACCCGGGGTACACTGAGCAATCTTGCGCATTACGTCGTCTGGTACCGAAAAGTTCAGTTTGTTTAGCACCTTCCTACAGGATAGACATAGGGATGGTGGACTGGGTCCTTCGGGGAATGAAATCAAAGTAGTGGAGAAGGGGCGGGGCCTGGTTGTCTTAGTCCTGAGTGTGCAGCCCAGGGAGAGTAGAAGGGCTTGCCATCTGAGCCTCACCCTCCCCTGCCCGAGATTGGGTGTCCCAAGGTTCTTTGTCTCCTTCCCAATAGAAAAGTTCCTTGATTTTATTACCAGATGAATTCTGTCGTGTTCGCCCTCACCACCCTACCGTCAAAACAGTCCCAGCCTGGACAGTTAAGACCACAGTAAGTGAACATTCTTCTTAAGATATTAAAAGTGAGGGTTGGGTTTGTGGCTCAGTGGTAGAGCACTTTTGTGAGGCACTGGGTTCAATTCTTAGAACCACATATAAACAAACAAACAAACGAAATAAAGGTCCATCAACAACTAAAATATATTTTTAAAAGAAATTAAAAGTGCAGAGATCATAAACAATAACAACAACAACAAACCCCATAGGAGATGAAGAGGCTGGGGCAGCTTTCCTGGGAACTCAGGCAGGTTGGGGCTGAAGAGTTCCACTCCTGCATCCAAGTATTGTTTTACCTGTTCAGGTGACCCCAGTTGCTGAGCTTCTGCTGGAGAGAGTTTGCAGGGACATAATTGTGCATCTCCACCATCTTTGGGAAATAAAATTTGATGACCTCTGCCACCAGGACTGTGGGAGTAACCGTGAAAGCAGACATGGAAGATGGGGGGATGAATAAGGGAGAAGAGGGTGGGAGAAGAGAAGGGAGGGATAGAAAAAGCAGCAGAGTGATTGAACCCAGTGGGGAGGAAGATGCAGAAAAGGGAAGGATAATAGGGAGGGAAACAAAGAAGAGACAAAGATCATCAGTCAGATTTAAGATTCAGCTGCATTCCTTCTCCATTAACTCAGAGCATAGGAAAACTCAGAATAAGTCTCTTAAGAGCTCTTCAGGAGGATGGGGCCTTACCCTAGGAATTCACATGGACACACATACTGTAACACCAAAGTTCCAGAGAGAATCACAGACTCATACAAGCAGAGACATGTGATAAGATCCCACTACAGATATATATGTAGGGCAGAATGTATAGACATGCAAGACAAAAACACAAGTCAGCCTAGTGCAGTGGCACACGCCTGTAATTCTAGCAGCTTGGGAGGCTGAGGCAGGAGGATCACGAGTTCAAAGCCAACCTCAGCAACTCAGTGAGACCCTATCTCTAAGTAAAATATTAAAAAGGGCTGGTGATGTGGCTCAGTGGTTAAGTGCCTCTGGATTCAACCCTTAGTACAAAACAAAACAAAACCAAAAACAAGTAAAAAAAAAAAAAAACCCACAAGCCAGATACACATAGGTGCACATGTAGAATACACATGTAAGTACAGAGTCACATATGTACATGGCCTCCTCAAATATGTACATATAAAATGCATATTGCATCCTGAAATCCCAGAAGACATTACTGGGATTAATAATTTCTGTGACTGTGACTTCATAATCTCATGGAAACACATTCACTGCACAAATACATACATAGATACGTATCTTAGTCATCAAAGTCCCTGGAGGGAGTCACACACACACACACACAAACTATGTGCACACCAGATAGAACAGGTGGACATACACATAGACAAACATTGTTCACACATAGAAACAAATAGAAAACACACACAAGGGTACTCTTCCACAGTTGAAGTCCCAGGAGGTAGATCTCACCCATATACACACACACCACAGTTACCCAAATATAAAAAATACAGTAAGCACACAGATCCCTTACACACGTCCATACAGGTCAGAATATGCAGAAACAAACAGGAGCGCACACCTCCATCACTGAAGTCCCGGGAGAGGTTTCTCTTGGGCCTGGACAGAGGGATGTTGTCTACCCATAGGTACAGCTGGTGCAGCGCTTCCTCATCCACACTGCTCGCCATTGGAGCCCAGCAAGGTCAAGCCGTTCCAATCGTGCAGCGTCCAGACCCAGCCTCACGACCCCTCAAACGCTTCCTCTCTCACCACTGCGGGTGTCCAGATCTGCCTCTGCCTCCCTAGCCCAAAGACTTACGTCCCATCTGGGAGCAGCCATATTGTTTTCTGAAACCATGGCAACCATTGCCGACTCGCCTTGAAGCAGGGCCTTCTGGGAGTTGTAGTTTTTTCCAGCTACCCTTTCCTGGGCTCCAGAGTTGTAAAGAGTTGGGTGTCCTTATCTTCCCTTTTTCCTCCAAAAAGGCATCACCTCTACACCCATACCACCTGCTGACCCATTCTGAGATCTGCCAAAGCCAAACAGGCCCCCAGAATCCTGGCACCAGTATCCCCAGGGCTGGGATCCTCCTTCTGTGCCCTTTAGCTATCAGTCCTAAATGAAGGAAAGCATTGCCATAATAATAATCACCTCCATTTGGGAGTACTGTTAATAATCTGCTACCCATCTGAGCTGTGCGATTGACTTCTGTGTGACAGTGCTTCCTTGCTGGCTCCCTCCCAAAGTTCTGTACTCAAAGGGCCACTGGCACTTCCTCATCCCACCAGTGTTCTGGAGGGACATTTAATAGGTAACCAAAACTCCCAGAGAAAGCACAGAGTTCAAAGTCAGTACCTTAAGCAAGTCATTCAACTCCATCACCCTATTTGCTCCTTTGTGAAATGGGGAAAGTTCTCACCTACTTGTGTGTGTGTGTGTGGGGAGGGGTAATGAATAGGAAAGAACTTACAAAATGGAAAGATGTTAACATTTACAAAAGACCTGTATTTGTTTGGTAATTGGGGGTAATGGGAGTTGGTTACAGGTACAGAAGCAAGAGCTACATCTATCTGCATTCCTCATCTTTCAAAGAGCTATTCAACCATGGATTAGCAATTGATTTTAGTAAACAGCTCCACTTCAAAGGCAACCCTACAAGAGTTAGGAAGATGGATCCCTCATTATTGAATAGGTACAGGGTAGCAGTAAAGGAGTACTTCTAGGGTCAGCCTGGGGAGAAACCTTCCTTCTAACACAAGTGTGGCTTTGGGTACATCACCAAACCTCTCTCTGCCTATTTGTCATGGTTTTTCCTATCTTGTGGGCACTTTGGAAAGTGTTTAAAGCCTGATATACTGTAAGGCCCTATTAGTATCAGCAGTATGATCACTAATGAGATCATCTCAGTTCCAGCAAGAGGTGTTCTTGATGACAAAAAACAGCTGGAAGTGATTTGCCTAGTTAGTACTTGAAGTAAGGGACCTGAGTTGGCCAGGGTCACTTGGGGAGAACACCACTGTTCCCTCCTACTCACTCCAGAGCACATGGGATGTGTGTGTGTGTGTGTGGGGGGGTAGGTTGGGCTTGATTTTTGGCTCCCTGGTCTCCTCCTCCAGAGTTCAGATAAAGGAATGGGGGTGATGCCAATGGATAATCTCAAGTCCTTTTTGTTGTCACTATGTTTCAAAGCCTTCAAGGCCTGAAGGGGAGTGCCAAAAGTGCAGAAAGCCAAAAGTGGAAGTCACCCCACCTTCTTGTTTTAAAGTGATGCACAATGGCCTTGCCTTTCTGGGAGGAACCATACCCAGTGCAGGCAAAGAATATCCCCCACGCAACATTCCAGGGTAGGGAGAAGAGGAACTTGGTAGCAAAGGGGTGGTGAGGGGTTGGGAGGTAACCAGAGGTGAAGTGCCAGTCCCAGGCAGGGTGGGAAAACCGGTTTGAGCCCCAGAGCTGCCTGCCCTACTCAGGCTCAGGCCCTCCCCTGGCTGGAACCTCTGGGGCCTGAGAGCTTCAATGAGGAAGGGTTATGGAGAAAAGTACTGGGCCCTGAAAACAGGAGGTGTAGGACAGAAAATGACCTGTCCTCACTTTTGAACAGGGGAGCCCCTGGAGGGCACTGCATCAACTTCTTGGTGGTACAATTTGCTCCTAGAAAATTTCACCTTCCTCCTACCACTGTCTGCAAAGGTGGCCACCAGGTTTGCAGAGGGCCATCAATGAAAGCCTTAACCAGGTGCCACCAGCATGCCTATATCCCAACTACTCAGGAGAGTATAGCAGTAGGATCACTTGAACCAGGAGTTTGAGAGCAGCCTGGGAAAGACCTCAAAAAACAAAACATCTCTCTAAGGCACCAAAGGCAAATCAAAGGGTTCTCCATATGCCCCTCCAAACTCCAACTTGACCCACAAGAGCTGTCCCAACAAACTTTCTGTTCTAGTCCAACTCTTGCAAGGATCTTCTTTAACCAGCCTTGGTGGGTCTAGTCCTCAGGTGCATATTGTCTGATTTAGCCCGACAGACTATTGGCTCCCTCTTTCCTGGCCCCAGCCAAGTGACCAAGAGCTTCTCTCTAACCCCAAAGCAGTGCAGGTGTAGGCTTCCTCAAATCTACCCTTAGATGGGTACACTGAAGACCCCTTCTTTCCCAAGTCTCTATAAATAACTCTTAGACATGGATGTTGACAGCTCCTGCTGCCCCTCACCCCAATCAGGGCCACCCACCCTCTCAACCCTTGCTTCTATGTCCCACCAGAGCAAGGACCAAAGGGAAGAGGGAAAGCATGTGTCCCCCAAGACAGACGCAAGCCCAGACCATGAAGGATGCACCCTTGGCTGTTAAAACGTTCACCCCCACAAAAGGGGAGTGGACAGATTTATTGAATTCAAACTGGGAAAGGAGCAGCTGGATGGCTGGACTCTGGGCCCAGCCCCAGGCCCCTCTGCCCAGGATGGGGCCCTGCCAGAGAGGGATGAGAGGCACAGGGCCTGCAGCTGCCCACAGGGGAGGTACCCAGTATCACTCCCCTGAAGGGCCTCTTGGAAACCTCCAATCTGAAAAGAAAACCAAGGGCCAAAGTCACAAGGACTGGGCCAAAGGAAGGGATTAGGGAGGTGGAAAGCAGGCAGAGGCAAGCTTAGGAGCCTGCCATGAGTTAGACTGTGCTTCTTGAGGCGGCCCAGGGGTGGGGGTGGGACTGCCAGCCTTGTGGGGACCCAGGCTGGACCTTCCTCTGGAGCCCTTCCCAGAATGGCTTTGAGGTCCCCCCCACCGAAGACCTGGTGTGGACGGCAGGGGGAGAGGCACTCTCCGGCCGGGAGCTTCCAGGGCCCATCCCTGGCTGCCACTATGGTCTAGTCCACTGATGGCACGGTGTGGTAGCACCGGACAGCTCCCCACTCACCCCACCTTGTCCCCTAGCCCAGGGGCAAATGGGGAGGAAAGGATTTTGAGAAAGAGGCAATAAGCAGGCAGTGAGGCAGACCTCAGCCCCTGGGCCTATCTCAGGGCCAGGGAAACATTACTAAAGGCCCTGGGGCTCCCCTCTTCTGGCTCCATCCACAGTGGTTGCACAGAGTTCTCTGCCCCAGGACTGGTGCTGCCCTTCTGGGTCAGGCAATGGCTATGCCCAGGGGGCTCAGCTTTGATGTCCAAGACCCCGAACTCCCGCCTGCCTGGCGTGGTTCTTCCTAGTCACGTGGACCAGATCATGTTCCAAGTGGAGGATGTGGCTCTGCACACGGTCATCAATGGGGAAGGAGGTCAGGTACCTCTTGACCATGGCAAAGTAAGCCATGGCCTCCCCAAAGCTGGGTACAGGCACCTCATCACTATCCTCATCATCATCTTCGTCATCTTCATCCTCCTCATCCTCATCCTCATCTTCCTCCTCTTCCTCACTATCTGACTCTGAGTCCTCCCCACCTTCCAAGAAATGGAGGGTAGGGCACTGTGCCTCCTCCTGGGCACTGTAACCCCCAAAGCTGCCTCCAGCCTCCACTACTCCCTGGGCCCAGTCCTCGGCCTCCAAGCCCTCAGAAGAGCTTTCCTCCTCTTCCTCCTCTTCTTCATCACTGTCATCAACATCACCCTCCTCCTCCACCTCCTCTTCCTCCCCCAACTCTTCTCCTTCTCCTCCTTCCTCCTCCTCCTCCCCTTCTTCTTCTTCCTCCTCCTCCTCCTCTTCCCCTTCACCCTCCTCCTCCTCTTCTTCTTCCTCCTCTTCTTCTTCCTCCTCCTCCTCTTCCTCTTCTTCTCCCTCACTCTTGAGGGAAGTGGTGATGGTGGCATTAGGGCCACCTCCAAAACCAGCCTCCCGAAAACAGGTGGCTATGTCCGAAGGCTCCACTGCCTGCCACGCTGCAGCCACAAAGTGCAGGGCCTCCATAAGGCCCAGCTGCAGGCCTGAGCGATCCTGGCCCTCTAGGGCAGCCATGGCCTTGAGCAGCATAGCCTGGCGATAGTGGCCTTTCACCTGTTGGACCACTCCTCGCTCCAAGGGATGCACAGTGCCCGGAGGGAAGAAGGCCAGCTGCACGTGCCTCAGGCCTGAAGTGTCCAGGGACTGGGCAGCCAAGCGGCCTGCCAGCAGCAGGACCCGGCGAGACTCTGCAGCCATTCGGGTGTCCAGGGCTTTCAAGTACTTGGCCAGTGCCTGGGTGGTGACACCACCCTTAGAGTTGGCGGTGTAGTCGCAGGGCAGGCCACCTTGTCCTGCACGAGGCTTAGCTGATTTGCCGGCCACCAAAGGGGGTAGCTTCTCGCTGCCATCGGCATTGGCGCACAGCAAGACGCTTAAGCGCTGGGTGGCTTGGCGCGCCCTTCCATCGCCTCCGCACAGCCCTGCCGCCTGGTCGGGCAGAAAGTCATACCAAAGACTGGTCTCGGTGGCGCTGAACACGTCTTGGGAGGCGTATCCCTCGGCCACAGACGGCGGTTGCTCCTCCCGGGCTCGCCAGCCAGGTGTACTCCCACCACTGCCCTCCGAGGGCACAGCAGCCGGGCTAGCAGGTGCTGCTGGGGTCCGGGGAGCACTGTTTCGTCCCCGGGCACGGGCCACACCACTGCAGGACACCACACCATGGCGCCGGCGGAAGCGGTCCAGCCAGCCATTGGAGGCAGTGAAGTCGTCCATGCCCAGCTCCTCGGCTATACGCAGAGCCTTCTCCTTGAGGATGATGCCCTTGACGGGCAGGCCAGCGGCGCGGATCTGCTGGAACCAGGCTATGAGCAATCCCTCCAGCTTGTCATAGGGGGACAGCTTGTTGGTCTTGCGGCAGGTGGAGGCCACACCGTACTTGCGCTCCGACGCCAGGATGGCGCGCTTGTTCTTCAGGATGGTGCTCAGCGTGGACGGCGGGATGTTGAAGCGCCGCGCGATCTCGCCCTTGCGCAGGTCCGGGTTCTCCTCCACCTCCTGGATGATCCGCGACTTCTCCCGGAACGTCAGCTGCC